TTTTGTAAACTGATAAATATATTTTTGTCTTTAATATCTATTTATCTATCTATAGCTAACTCTAACTTGTTTGTATTCTATTTTCTTTTATTTTTATGTCTACCTCAATTTAGATTTAACAGTAACAAAATTTAAGAAGTAGCTTACTTATTACATCCAAAATAAATAAATGGAAGTCAAAATAATATTTTTTACATAAAATCTAATTGAACTTTTAATTTATTTTATTTCTAACAATTATTAAACAATTTTATATAAAATTAGAATGAAATTAATAATAACTCTATTATGAAAATCTAAATATCAGAAAAATAGATTTAAATTGAAATTTTGATTCACCTAATATAATTATTTTTATTCAAAAAAAATTGATGTAGTTTGCTAAATGAACAATAAAAACATAGTTTATGACTTATAAAAGTATTATTATACCATTATTACTTTTTAAAATAAGTATTCATATTCTAAATTGATTTACATATATGTAATATATTGTATGGAACAAAATTTTTTTCTCTCCTATCAAACCAGAAAAAATAAACAATTAAATATTTAAAATAAAAATCCTATTTAGGCTTAATGGTTTGACTTATTAATTTATATTATATATTTTACATATTTAAATCTTTAATTTGGATTTCTTCTCTTCAATTTTAATTAATTTACTCTCAGCCATAAAATTTTGAGAATCAAATGTCTAATTAATTAATTTGAAAATAGACAAACAAATTAGTAGGTAAGCGTGCAGACCAAAAACAAACAAATAGATAGATAGAGAGAAACGAATAAACAATAATTTATTTGGATATACCAAATTTAGTAATAGCCTCAATTTAATTAAAACCTGATAGATCATATCAATTAATTTGATTAGAAAATATTAATAAAAAAAAGATATATCAAATTTATTACTATAACATGAATAGTTTACTCAATTTTTTTTCATCTTCATCTTCTAAGGTTAACTTAGTTGACTACTTAAAGGAAACAATAGACTAAGCTAAAAAGAACTCTTCTTCAGAGGAATTCACCTTAGTTTTAAACTTTAAGGATAGATTTGGAAACGAAGATGGTACAAAATACTTGGCTTAAACTTTGCAATAATGTTAGAATATTAGTAGACTTCATTTAGAATTAAGAGATGATAGAATTCCAGATGAAAAAATGATTATTCTATTAGAATAAATCCAGACTATGAAAAATTTAAAGCATCTCTCATTAAGCTTAGGCCATAATTACTTAAAAGAAGCTTCAGTCAAAAGAATTGGATAAACTATTGGAAATTTAACTTAATTAGAATCAATCAATTTAAAATTTGATTCAATCTAAATAGGATAATAAACTGTAGCTGCCCTTACAGAGGGATTTAACAAATGCTAAAATCTTACAAACTTAAATCTCAATTTAGACTATTGTAATATATAGGACAGTGGTTTGTAAACTCTCTGCGATGGCTTAGCACGTTGTATTAATCTTACCTAATTAAATTTATCTTTAGGTTGTAATGGCTTTTCACAATACCCAAATTAGATGATATCTTAAATGATAGGAGAAGGTCCTTATCTTGAGTATCTTAAAAGTTTAGAAGAAACTTTAAAAAAACATAAGTTAACTAATTTTACAGCTAATTATTGGTGAGATTTAATTATAACTAAACAAATAAACAACCAAACAAATATCAATTAATATAATTTGCATGTACATTTTTACAAATAGATTAAATAATACATTAAAGAATACTAGATTATATTATATTATATTATATGTAATTATTCATATTTTATTAATTCTTAATTATTTGTATGAAATTTATTTTCTTTTTAAAATATAAAGCATTTTAAATCATTTAAAATTTTTTTTGTAATGTTCATTCATTATTTAGCAAAAAGTAGAAATAAATAGATAGTTTTAATTAGTTTATCTAAATAATAATTATAAATCTAGGAGTGAAGAAAAATTAAAAAAAGAGGTGTGCTTACCATAGAAAAATTTAATGAAACATTTAAAAATATAATCAATAAAAATAATTTTCATTTATTTATCTAATTTGTTAAAAAATAATAAAGTTATATTGCGAATTGAATTTAATCAAGAAATTTATATGATTTAAGAATTAACATGAAGGACTTTATGATTACAAAATCATACTAACTAATATATTTATTATTTTAAGAATATAAAAAAGGATGTAGATTATTTAAATAATAAAGTAATATTACTAATAGAATTGAATCAAGAAATTTATTTAATTTAAGAAAATGAATGACTTTATGATTACGACAAAATCATACTAACTAATATTTTTAATATTAGAATATAAAAGGGATATATAGTATTTAAATTAGTAGATATTATTTATAAACAATTTTATGATTATTATAAAAAAAAGCTAAAATACAATTAATTTATTAAACAAACATATTTAAAGCACTAAATAATACTTAAAAATAGACAAATAATTATTTAAAATATTCAAATTTAAAAGGAAAGGTCTTCAATAAAAGGCTTGATTCAAATTTGTTTATTTTGAGCCCAATCTCTATTTGTTTTAATATAATTAAAAATACCTATTTTTTTTGTTTCTTTTTTGTGCAAATTTTCATTTTTATTATAAGTAATTTTAATACTCTTGAATTATAAACTATTGAATGAGTTATTTATTGGTAGCAATAGATTTTTTTACTATTTTTAATTTCTATACTTTATTTTTTAATAAATTATTTAATAAATTTATGTTATTATTGCTAAAACCATGAAGAATGGTTGCAAAAACTAAATTATTTGAATCGTTACTACAAAAGACAAACTGAGTCTGTCAAGGATTGTTGAGTAATTATTAGTATTAGGCATTGAGCTAAAGTGGATAATAAGATAGAATTAAATATAAAGAGATATCCAAGATAATGTGTCCATAATAAAATAGAAGTTTGTTAGTTTAGATTAGAATGGCATGAGTCTTATTAATATTATCAAAAATAATACCTCTAATGAAATAGATATAATATTAGCTGATTGCCAGCTCCAGCTAAATTAAATAAAAATTGTTGGGATTAAGACCTGCTAGAAAGTTATAAATATCAAGGTAAAATTTCTTCTCAATTTCGATTCAAAAATGCTATCGTTCAATATTTTTTCTCTACAGATTTCATAAAAGTTAATTATTCTTTATCTTGCTTTTTATCGATTAAGATACTGGTATTGCTTGTATAATATTAATAAAAACAGTAAAAAGCAGATTACTAGAACAGATATCTTTGTTCCCAAATAATCCAAATCACTCTCATAAAAGAACTCTTTCAGCTATTAATTAATTCCTATAACAAAGACTCCCATAATTAGCTAGAAATATTGAATTATAAAAGAACTAAATATTTTATGAAAAATAATAGTTGACAATTATTAAGTTTTCTTGTGCTTAATTTTCTCCAGCAAAACATAAAAAATTGCTTAAAATAAACAGCAAATACAGAATAAAGTTATAGATTGCCCACAGTTATGCAAAATATGATAAGATAAATCTAAATCTTTATATTTATTATCTTAGAATGATAAAAAACTTTAATCTAATAAATGCTCAAAAACATTAATACCCTTAAACTGCTAAGAAGGTAGTTGCCCTATTTTAAAATAAAAATGTAAATTAAAAATTGAAAAATCATTTAAAAATTCAATAAAAATTTGATAAAACTTAATAAATTATTTTGATTTTGCTTTTTAAAATTTCACATTAAAACTTTTAAACTTGTAAATAAAAATAAATTTTATTTAAAGAAAAATTTTTAAAACAAATATTAACTGGTTTTGTTAATTTAAAAAGATTTAAATTATTTAATTAATTGAGGATGTTTAGAAATTTAAGAATTAAGAAGAATAATACCTGAAAGTATTTTTAAAGGAACATAAATTTATTATGGCAAATTTTATTTTATCAATGCAAGATAGGCTAGTTTTTATGTAGTTAAACCAGATTATAAAAGGCCAAAACTTGAGCTAGAACCTATATTTTATACAGAACTCAGTACGACTGAACTTGATGATAGCACTTCTGATGTTTTTTAAATTTATTATTTTGTTTATTCAATTTTCTCTTAGCTAAAAATCTCAGATTCATAGTTCATAAATGTTTCTTCACTGGGATTATCTGAGACTTTTTACTCCTCTTAGTAAATTATGCATTCACTACTGGTGCTTCCATAGCAAGTCTTACAAGCCTTATCACATTGGAGACACGATTTATTTCTTATTAAATTAAATAATTTTTTATTTAATTGTAATTATTAAAGATAATCAAAATAGGTTTGTTTACTAAATGTAATATCCTTTTGAAGTATCACAAAAACACTTCTGGTCTTAAAGTTAAAAATTATCATAGCAGCTTTCACATTAATCATCTCTAATTCCTGAGCAAGTCTTGCAAAAATCATGGCAGGTCTAATGATTTTATAATAATAAAATATAAGTTAAAGCTAATTTAAATGCAAATCTTACATAAATTAATTTGCAGTTAAAGTCAGAAAGTAAATAGCCATCAAAACAGCTTGTGCATTAATTTGCTTGACATGTTTAGCAATTCTCATTACATTTTTTGCATTCATCATTTCTAAATATTGAACAAAATTTTATGAAATAAAACTTAGTTATTTCCTCATTAAATTATAAGAATTATTTAGAAAAAAGTCTTACTCTAAATAATATCCTTATGAAGTATCGCAAATGCATCTTTAATTAACTAACTAAAACTCTCCATAACAACTTGTGCATTAGTTATTTGTGCTACCTATACAGCTTTTACAAGACTCGTGGCAGGAAAAACAATTGCTTCCATTAAAACTGAATGAATTAAAAAAAAATATTAATTTGAAATTTTTATAAATTAAATAAATTTCTAAAATAAAAAATATCTCTTTTTTACTGAATTCATTGAATAAATAAATAAATAAGATCTAAAATTTTTAAATAAAACTGAGCCTTGAAAAATTTATTTTTAAAAGTTTGTGAGAAATAAATAATTATTTATTAACTTGATTTCTTCGGTAGAGTATCCCTTTTGGTTATCGCATAAATAGCAAATTCCTTCTGACAAAATGTATTACTAAGAATTTTAATAACATACTAGAAATGATATGTTAAAGAAATCATTTGATTTAGCAATACAATTTTGTTCGCTAAATTAGCACATATTTAATTTAGAAAGTTAACTAGTATATAATTAAGTTGCATTCATGAGTAAGAAGTTATTTTTTTGTTATAAATAAATTAAGCTTCCCTAATATTTATCATAAAATTTAATAAGATTTCAAACAAATTTATCTAATATAAATGATTACGTTTTGAAATTGTTATATAAAAGGATCAAGGCGATCTTTTGGCATTATAAATGGATGCTTGTAAAATTATAATTAAAATCCAATAGCTTTTACAATTTAGACTTTATTAAAAAGAAGATCATATTCTATAGTGTAGTATGATTAATCAATTATGAAATTATTCTAATTTATTAAAATTAATAGTTAAAATTTTATTTTAATGAAAGAAATTACATCTATCTGAACAATATCATCTTTATTTTGTAATACTGTGTTTTTATCAAAAATAGGAATTTCAGTAAAATCACTTGCCTTCAAAATTTTAATTAAGTTGTTATCACTTATTAGCAACAAATTTATCTATTAATTTTAAATTTTATCATTTATATTTTATTAAAATGAATTATAATTTAATACCCCATTTGATATAAATACTTTTGAAGCGAAAGCATTCTAAAATCTTTATTGTTGAGACCATTTCATTTTATTATTGAATTAGTAAATAAAAATATAAGAGAAATTTTGGCTTTAGGTGTTCAATTTAATAAGATATTCGCATTTTATAGTTTTATCAAAATAGTTATGCTAGTCGTAAAGCAGAAATATATCACTATCCTACTATTATTTTAATTAATTACAAAATTTCTCAAATTGCTATTTAATATTTTAAAAATTTAAAGAAAACTTTATTTTCAAAAATGGTTTACTCTAATTCTTCATTTAATAAGTCAATAAAGGGAACAATTCCTTAAAATGATATCAAATAAAATAAAATAAAAAAAATGTTATAGCAATTACTTTTTTGCCCGAAAATAAGTAATTAGAGTATATATGCATTATCATAATATAAAAATTTTTTGTAGAACTAAAAACAATTCATTAATTAGTAAATTAATTACATCAATTAGCCTAAGTGGTGGCATTCCATCTTCAGGAAAGTGAATCTAACTATTTTTGTAAAATAATTTATCATTATTAATTTTAAGAAATTTCTAATCTTAAAATTATTATTCAGATTATTCTAAATCTAATCTAAATCCTGTTTTGTCCATTGATCTATACAAAATTTTCCAATTGTTTTCTTAGAAATAATAACTAAAACCTGAAGTTTCTAAGCAAAAGTAGTAATAATGGTCCCCCTTTAAATACAAATAAAACAAGGTATAATAACTATTTTCAATTCATAGATTTATACTTTTTTAGTTATAAATTGAGAGTATCCATAGCAATCATAATCTTAGTCAAAAATACAATTTTCTACTTAATTGATTATGTTTTGTTCTAGTAAATTAATATCAATTAAATAATATGATGGCCACTAGCAAACAATGTAAAGCAGATTGTCCTATATTAATAAGAGTATTAAAAGAAATCAATAAAGAAAATTAATATCCTACCTGATCAATAAAATAAGTCACAAAAGAATTTAAATTCATTTAGCTGAGTTTATAGGTAGCGATTATATTCCCATGTAAATTGTATTAACTATATCTCCATATTTTACTAGATTTTTCTTGATATATCAGAGCTTTTTTTTCCTTATTTTAATTAAATTATTAAAAAATTATTTTTAAAAATGCTAATCTACTTGAATATCAATCAGTAAGTTGTTTGCAAGCTAAATAGGCAATTAATCTTAGCAATTAATTTTTTATAAAATAAACCTCATAAAAAATAAAATTATAAATATTTATTTCAAAGTCATGATATTCCTTTATGTGGTTTAATAAATTTACAAAAAATCAAATTTAATACTCTAAAAAAAGTTATCAAGCAGGCTCATTAAAGATTTTTATTAAATTATTATTTTAATTAGGTGATTTTTAGAAATTAATTATTAACTAGACTTTAAAATGAGTTTGATCTTTAAAAACTAGTTACTATCTATTAATTTCTATTAATTTAAATGCTAATTATTTATTTTTTAGCACGAACCGGCAATTAATTATTTTCAAAGCAAGCATGACATTTAACCATTTTATAAATAAAAATTAAATAAACGTATTTTTTGAAATAAGTAAATACGCTCTCACTGAATACAAAAGTTAGATAAAATATAAAAAACATAAATTCACTAATTAATTGATTAAATTTAATAATAAAATGCATTTTACTTATATATTTTAAATGAAAATAAAACCATATTTTGTTTTCAAACCAAATTATTCCTTAATCAACTAATTTTAGCTGATTTTATATTTTACCAAATTTCTTATTTAATCTGCTTAATTTTTAGATGATAAAAATTGGTCATATTTTTGATAGAACTAAGATAATGATTACATTTATTTCAGCTTGAATTACTTACTATCATAATTAAAAATCTAAAGTAATTAAGTTAAGTATGAATGTGTGTATTATTAATTTTGTGGAAAAAATCAATATTTTAATAAAAATATAAACATCTCATATTAATTTTGGCAAAAAACAACCATAAGAAAAATAAATTAATAAATTAATATATCCTAATTTTGTTAAATTACATGAAATGGTGCTGGTTACTTCAAGATATAAAAAATAGCGCATTAAATATCCAGAAGAAGTTAGTCATATATTAAATGAAATTGCTTTTCGCTCAAAAAAAAAATATATAGATAAAGTTAGATAGTTCTAGTTTACTTTTCATTTGATTTCAGTTCAGGGGAATTTTATAATTATAATATTTTTATTCAAATTTTTTCTACAATAAAACTTAAAATATATTTAAGTTAATAAAATAAATAACTAAGTGAGTATTTCTATTTTTAATATATTATAAATTAAACTTTGTTTTTTATCAAAAAACTCGACAAAGTAATCTTTTTGGAATTACTTTAAATTTATGCTCCTCAATCTACCAAATTAATTTTGTTTTAAAATAAGTTGAATGACTGTTTTGCGAAGTTAAACAAAATTAATATAAACTACTAGGAATACTAATGTTTCAAGCATATACCAAACTATTTTAGATTAAATGAGCTATTTATTTCTTATAAAATGATTAATATTTTATTTTTGCAGCTAAATATTTTTATTTTAATTTATTTTTTTTAAATTAATTCTCAAAATATTTATATATAAAATCTGATATTTATATTTTATAATAGAATTATAATTAATTAATTAATAATTTAATGTATTTTGGTACATGTAAAAAATTAATTAATTTGATTTGTTGTATTTAAAATTTAGCTTTTTACAATATTTATTAAAAAATATCAATTTGATATTCCATTGATATTATCTTAAATTTTCATTCAATGAGTTTTAACTTTAATTTTTAAGAGAAACTTTTTAAAAAAAACAGGTAATAATTTAAAAAATTAATAAATAGGAATTTATTTAATTTAAGCATAATGTAAATTAGTTTTCTTTAAAATAAACTTAGTAATTAACAACACATTTATTTATTTATTTATAAATACAAGTAATATAATTAATTTAAGTTTTTGGGTATATTAATTATTTTGTTTAGCTTTTAATAGTATTTATTTTTATTTTCAATGTTCTTCTAGAATTAATGCTAAAAAAGTACCAGCAGATAAACCCAAAGTAAAGAAAAATGCCAAAATAAAAGAGATTATATTTTTTTCTTCAGGGTTAAAACTTTTCTTTGCTCCTATTTACATAAGACCGCTAGCAACAAAGCCGTGTGTCAGACCAAATATAAAAATGTCTACCATAGCAAAATAGTCATTTCCAAAGAATTAATCATCAGGTTCTCTTGCAGACATCAAAAATGTATAGAAAAATATGCCTCTTAAAATAGTTAAAGCATAAAGCAAAACTGAACTATAAAAATGAAAGCTGCTAATGATTTTCCCAAAGAAGTCTCCAAGGTTAAATAAAATTTACATTATAAGACTATTTATTTAAAAATTACGATTAGCTTGAAACGTGATTAATATATTATTTAAATAATTGATTTATTCTTCTTTTTTCTTTCACTTAAAGATTTTAATTTCTAAATAAAAATTTTTGATTAATTTGAAAAAATTAAATAAATGTTTTATTTAAAATAAAATTTTCAATATTTAATTATTTTCCTTTTCACTTTCAATCAATCAAAATATATTTATTTAAACTGTCCTAAGAAATTTGTTTTGATTTGAATTATTTACCTCGACCAAGCCAACGAATCGATAAACGAATATCTTTTTTAATATATTGAAACTCCTGGAAATAGCATAAAACTGATTACATAGTTAGTAAAAAGAAAGAGCGCTATGTATTTAACACTTATTAAGCAACTCTTAAAGCTAGGTTTGGATATAATTTCTTCATTTTCAGTAAATTCAATAACTATTTCATCGTTTTAATTATCTAACTGACTTTTTACTTCTGTTTCTGAGTTACTTGTACTTAAAGAATGAGAATAAGTATATTATTTAGATTTTAAGAATTTGAATAGACAGAAAATGGTAGCATAAATTATCAGGCATGCTATTATAAAACATGTCAAGGTTCTTTTAGTAATTCCATCATCATCCTTTCCACAAATAGCTAATATAACAGCTCTAGCAATATTCATAGAAAGCCCACTCAAAGAAGTGAATATCCAAAAAATTCCTTTTTTTAGTGAATTATTAAGACTATGCTATTTATTTGTAATATAAGTTAATTAATAATACCTTGGTTACTTTTGTCAAATTGAGAGATAAAAGCTATACTACAATTTTAAGAAATGCAATTAAATGTCCCAATGATAAAGCAAAGTACCATGCATGTAATCAATCCATATAGGTTTTAAATAAATTGAGCAGTAATAACCAGTAGAACGATTAAAATTGATTAAATAAATAATGAAAGTCCAATATTAATTTTGATAGAAAATGTTTGATATATCTTGCCCATAGCTAAACCCCAAATGAATGTGGCAAATCTTAAAGGAACAGGAAACAAAAATGTGACATCATGAAAAGTATGTTTAGGATATTTAATAAGAAAGAAGTCAAAAGAATTCAAAATAGCGCTCCATGCAATAAGAGTAGAAATTCCTAATAGTGCAGATGTTATTTTACTCAAGAAAGTTGTTTAATAAGAAAATGTATCTTCAATTAACTTGGTTTTTTCCATTTTAGTGAAGTCAGCCAATAGAGTAATAAATAATCAAAATATATTTAAAGGAATAAAATAATAATAAATAAGTTAATTTTTTTATAATAAAAAATTTATGATTATTTGGAAATTGACTATAAATACTTCTAGTTCATTTATTATTCAATACAAATAATTATAAAAGATATAATTTGTAATTAAAGAAATCAATGAATTCGCAAATTAGTTATTATTAAATTCTTTTATCATAAATATTAAAAAATATTTATTTGATTTTTTTTAATTATCAAATTTTTCTATTATCTTTCCAATTTAATATCAAAGTGACTTACTTATTGATTTCTAATCAAAACAAAAAAGAAAGAGTTGACACTGAAAAAATTTTTAAGTCTTTTATTGAAATTTATACTTTTAATTAATAAACAGGAATAGAGGAAAATGTAATTCAATAGCTAAATTAAATCTGCAAGGAAATACTCAAGAAGCTTTATATGATATAAAGTAAAACGATTTATTTGGAAAAAAAAATTAGTAAATTTAAATTAGTTTTTAGCTTGATAAGATTAACATTTTTAAGTGTAAAAAAAGTATTAGCAATATTTGTATTTCAATAGTAAAACAAGAAAATAATAGAATATATCAGTTAAGTATATACTGTATAGAAAAACTCTAGAAAGTTTTTGTAAAGCAATCTAATGTAAATTAATTATTATTTTGTTAAAAATGTTAAATGGAGAATATGTTTTAGCATGCTTAGATTAAAATTCTTATTAAAAATTAAATTTTAATAACTTTATATCAATCAATCAATCAATTACCTTAAATTTAAATTTAAATTAGTTTTATTTCTATAATAAAAATCTAGCTTCAATAAAAATTGTTATTTATGATTCTATTTTATTTAATTCTACCAAGGTGATTATACATTGTTATATTGGTTTGATATGAGTTAATCTATTCTGTGTAAATTATTTTCTTTAAAATAAACTTAAGAATAAACAATATATTTATTTGTAAATACAGATAATATAATTAATTAGAAGTGTAAGTATTTAAATTATTTAATATAGATTTTAATAGTATTTATTTTTATTTTCAATGTTCTTCTAGAATTAATGCTAAAAAAGTACCTGCAGACAAACCTAATGTAAAGAAAAACGCCAAAATAAATGAAATTATATTTTTTTCTTCAAGATTAGAACTTTTTTTTGCTCCTATTTACATAAGACCGCTCGCTACAAAGCCATGTGTCAAACCAAATATAAAAATGTCTACCATAGCAAAATAATCGTTTCGAAAGAATTAGTTATCGGGTTCTCTTGCAGACATCAAAAATGTATAGAAAAATATGCCTCTTAAAATAGTTAAAGTATAAAGCAGAACTGAACTATAAAAATGAAAGCTACTGACTATTTTTCCAAAGAAGTCTCCAAGATTAAATAAAATTTACATTATAAGACTATTTATTTGAATATATTGATTAGCTTGAAATAGAATTAATATACTATTTAAATGATTGATTATTTTATTCTACTTTTCTCTTTTACTTGGGATTAAACTTCTAATAAAAATTTTTGATTTATTTGATTTTTAAATAAATGTTTTATTTTAAAATATATTTTTCAATATATAAATATTTTCTATTTCACTTTCAATCAATCCAAATAAAAATATATTTTATTTAAATTTTCCTAATAAATTTGCTTTGACAAATATTGAATTATTTACCTTGACCAAGCCAACGAATCTATAAACGAATATCTTTTTTAATATATTGAAACACCTGGAAATAACATAAAACTAATTACATAGTTAGTAAAAAGAAAGAGCGCTATGTATCTCACACTTTTTAAGCAACTCTTAAAGCTAGGTTTGGATTAAATTTGCTCGTTTTCAGTAAATTCAATAGTTATTTCTTCGCTTTAACTTTCTAAAGTGCTTTTTACTACTGTTTCTGTGGTACTTGTACTTCTTGAATGAGAATATTAATTATTTTATTCAGATTTTAAGAATTTGAATAGAGAGAAAATGGTAGCATAAATTATCAGGCATGCTATTATAAAGCAAGTCAATGTTCTTTTAGTAATTCCATCTTCATCTTTTCCACAAATAGCTAATATAACTACTCTAGCAAAATTCATGGAAAGTCCGCTCAAAGAAGTGAATATCCAAAAAATTCCTTTTTTTAGTAATTATTAAGACTATGATATTTATTTGTAATTATAAATTAATTAATACCTTGGTTACTTTTGTCGAATTGAGAGATAAATGCTATACTACAATTTTAAGAAATACAATTAAATGTTCCAATGATAAAACAAAGCACCATGCATATAATCAATCCATATACATTTTCAATAAATTGAGCAGTAATAACCAGTATGACGATTAAAAGTGATTAAATCAACAATGAAAGTCCAATATTAATCTTGATAGAATATTTTTTATATATCTTACCCATAGCTAAACCCCAAATGAACGTAGCAAATCTTAAAGGAATAGGAAACAAAAATGTGACATCATGAAAAATCTCTTTAGGGTATTTAAAAAGAAAGAAGTCAAAAGAATTCAAAATAGCACTCCATGCAATAAGAGTCGAAATTCCTAATAACGCAGATGTTATTTTACTCAAGAAAGTGGTTTAATAAGAAAATTTATCTTCAAGTAGCTTGGTTTTTTCCATTTTAGTGAAGTCAGTCAACAGAAAGAATAATAATTAATCAAAAATATATTTAAAAGCAAGAAAATAAAATATAATTAAATTTTTCTATAATAAATATTTTGTAAATTAGCTATAAATGCTTCTAGTCCTTTTATTATTCAATACAAATAATTATAAAAGAAAAAATTTGTATTTAAAGAAATCAATATATTTGCAGAGTAGCTAGTAAATTAAATTCTTTTATCATAAACATGAAAAAAAGTTTATTTGTTTTTTTAAATCATCTAATTTATCTATTACCTTTGCAACTATTTATTAAAGTGACTTATGTGACTTTGAGAAAATTTTTAATCCTTTTATTTAAAATATACTTTTAATTAATGAATTGGAATTGTGAAAAACGTAATTCAATAGCTAAATTAAATTTGTAAGGAAATACTCCAGAAGCTTTATTCAATATGAAGCAAAACAATTCATTCATCAAAAAAAATAAATTTAAATTAGATTTTATATAGTTTATAAGATTAACATTCTATCAAAAAAAGTATTAGCAATATTAATATGTTTTTTGATAAAAACAAACAAGTTAAATAATAGAATTTAACAGTTTAGTATAAACTGTAAGGAAAAAATCTAGAAAATAGCTGCAATATAAAGTAAATTAATTAATTAATTAATAATTTGTTAAAAATGTTATCTCGGGAATACGCTTTAGCGTACTTTGATTAAAGTTCATATTAAAAAGAAATTTCAAATACTTTATGTCACAATCAATAAGAAATTTTCTTATTTTATATTTTAGTTAGTTTTATTTCTAAAATAAATAATAAATCTAACTTCAATAAAAATAGTATAATTTAAGAGTCAAATATATTTTAGTTTTATCAAATGATTTTAAATTTTTATATTGGTTTGATATGAGTAAATTTATTATGTCTTCATTCAATAATTGATAATGATCTATTTGACTTTATATTACATTTTTTTAAACAATTAAAATAAATTTTTTTTTAAATAAAAGAAAATATAAAAATAATGAAAAAAGTACCAAATTTTTTTCAGAGCAACAAAAAAAGTTAAAGAAAATTTCAGAGCAAAAATAATAATAAGAATTCTTAATCAAATAAAATAAAATTTATTAATAAATACAAATTATTATTTTAAAAATTTTTAAACAAAGAAATATTTAGAAAAATGATATTTATAAATAAATACATATTAGTGGTTTATTTATTAATAATATTAATAATTTAGTTTAAATTTATCATTTTTGTAATTGTTGAGATTTTTGTGATTTTTATAGTTTTTTTCATATCTTTTGTTACATAGATTTTTACAATTTTTTGATATTTATTGTGAATTATTGTCATTTTTACTAACGAATTAATTTTGTAAACTATTTAATTTACAAATAGAATAATGAATAATAATACAATTTAAATTGCTAAAAAGCTAATGCATAAAGTATATATTAAAATATTAAATTAAAGATTTTCTTTAGTGAGAGCAATCAATTTAGGTTTAAAATATTTACAGAAATCTGTATAATAAATAATAACAAATTATAATATTTAATTATTATTTTTAATTTAAAATGTAAGATTCATCGATAATTAAAGATAACATATTTATTTATTTATTTCGTAATTTTTTTCTTCTTCTATTTATATTAAGAATAAAAGAAAATGATACAGTAATAGATTAAATATTATTAATCATATGAGGAAGTAATTTTTTTAATTGAATTATAGTTGAATAAAATTTAATTTATTTCTTATTAAAAGTTTTTAAAATCTGATAATTAAAATGAAAGTGTATTATAGCTTGCTTTAAGGTTAAAAAATTATATGAATAAACTTAACTTTAATGGATTAAAATTTAATCATGATTAATTATAAAATTAATAAAGTTTTCATATATATTAATAAATATCTTACTCAAATAATTTTAAAATATAGTTGCACATTTACTGTATAACATTTAAATTCTTTAGGAATATAAATTGGTAAATACATGAATCTCAATACTCTAATAATAGATTGCACGTTGTTTATTTATTTAACTAACTTAAAAAATTACCCTATTTATTTCTTAAATTATATTCCCTTTAAATAACTTAAAAGGCCTCATATAAAAATGGCAAGAAAAATTTAAATTTTTAGTTAAAAATAAAATAAATTACATAAAAAAAATTTTTATTTTTTTAAAATAGGAAAAATATTTTAAATTACTACTTAATCCTTAAAAATTTATTTATTCATAAAAATATTTTAGATTAAATTTATTAAATATTTAAAAAAGGACTAGATTAGCATTTGATTCAAAAGCTTGCTTAAATCTGTTATTCTAATAATGCTCTAATCTGTAAGTTTTGAGTATCGATTTAAGGTAAAAATTATTTATAATTTTCAATTTTTATTTTAAATGATTAGTTTAACAATAAATTTAACAAATTAAAAAGTAAAAAATTTTAAGTTTAAGAAATAATTTAATAAAAAAAACAATTAAGAATTGAACAAATCATTTATTTGCTTTCTAAATTTATTATAATATTCTAATTGATTTATTAATAAAAGATATAACAACATCAATTAAGATCAAATAGCTGATATAGGATTTGGCCTATATAAATGTTAAAATTTACAAAACTTAACAATAGATTTAACGTAAAATTTCTTTTTATTCTTATTTAATTTAAAATATTTAAAAACTATTGAATTATTGAAGTAATTAATTATTTGATTAAACTAATAACAATAAAAACAAACGCTTTAGACTCCAAAAAATCTAATTTTTTCTCAATAAAAATACAATGAATTGCATAGCAATATTTTTAATATTATTTAAACTTTAATTTTTAAAAATAATTAATTAATTAGATGGAATAAAATTGGGATAAAAGGGGCATACAAGATAAGTTAAGATTTAGCAAAATGCACTAATTTAACTGATTTAATATTAGGATTAAGGTTAAGTTTTTATTTATTTATTTATTTATAAATATCATAATAAACCCTCCAATTATCAAATAAAAGTTTAATACTAAAATTTAAGGATAAAATTGAAATGCAAATATTTTTTGCTTTAAAATTGTTATTTTATGTAGCTAATTCAACTGATTTGATTTTTAATTTGTAAAGCGGCAATAATCTAAGTGATGAAGGTATTTCTAACTTGTGCTTAGGCTTAAAAAAATGCTATAAGCTATAAAATTTAGATTTGAAATTAGGAGATAGTACTTTCATGACAGCAGTATCGCATAACAATATAACTAATTAGGGTTTATTTATTTTAGGTAGTAGCTTAGTAAATTTCTCTAGTTTAAAAACTCTAAAACTTGATTTAAAGTAAGCTAATTAATACTTTATTCATATCAAATTACTATTTTGAAAGCACTAAATTGCCAAAAATAAAGCTTCATTATAAATTAAACTCATTAAAAATAGAATTTTACTCTTATTTTTACAAAATTAATTAATGTTTTGTTTATTTATTTGATAATTCTAACAATTAGAAATACCTAGAATTGTTTTTATTTAAGTTGAAATCTTTTTTTAAATTAAATTATTTATGTAAAAGTGGTAATTGCATAGATGACTAGGGATTGTTTGCTTTTTCACTTGTAATCGAAAAATGTAGTACTCTGAAGTACATATCACTAATATTTTGGTATAATTAAAGTTTTAAATATATTGATGCTATTTGTGCATAAATTATAAGTTTAAATAATTTAATTCAGATTTTTATTATTTTAGAGATCACAAAAAAAATAGTTTATTTTATTTGAAAAAGAATAATGCTGTTGTCTGTATAAATAAATATTTAGGATTTAAAATA